GAGTTTTATTTATTTTTATACCGTGTATTCTCCGTGTAAATTCGTGCACCGAACCGTGACGCCCGTACCGTTTCGGTTCGATACGAATACATGTACCGTTCCACCCCTAGAAGGCGCGCAACACTATTTATAGGCAAGATTTTCGCTCTAGAACACTTGTTTTTCAGCGGGAATGCAAATTAGAATAGCATTTAACCATGAACACAAAAGCCACACCACACAAATGGCTTTTAATTGGTTTATTTCGTTAGCAAACATGTCACTCTAATTGTTAAGTTCTTTCATCAGTCAATTTTCTGCAAAATAACGATCAACATGCTTGTTTGCTTTGCGGCCCCTTTAAATAAAGTTTAAAAAAAAAAGGACCAAGCATTCGATCTACGTCAGAGCATCAGAGCGTCCACGAATCTTTCCACGGCGTCGCTGGCAAATCCGGTCTCGCCGGCGGCGGTGTCAACGCAACGCACGGTAAGTATGGAGGTATGAGGAGCTTTTTAAAGAAGGACACGTACAACAGAATAGATCCCAGCAAACATGCTGGCTTTTTGCAGGCAGTGGGCTAGGACCAGCCCACACCAAACCTAAACAGGCCCACAGCTTTGGGCTCACCGTAGGCTCTCTGTGAGCAGCCAACATTATCGGATTGTCCACATTAAGCCCATGATGGCCCAGTGTGGGCTTTTGTACCTTTGGGCCCATGCAGGTTTTGTGTAGGCAGCCTACTTTCATTTCCCACGCTTTTGTTTGTTTGTTTTAAAATTGAATGTGAAATCCAGTAAGAACTTCCATTTGTTGTCAAAGACTCCCTTAAAAAAGCCAAACACAGACAACGGACAGACTGATGAAACCTGCAATGATTACCCGACTGTTAAAGCATGAATTTGATGTAAATATAAATAATGTAGTAAATAATATTCACATATGCAGTTCATACGGGACATAATGCACTATAGTCACAGCATGAAATAATATTTAAACCTAAATATTTCACAGACAGAATAACGAGTTTATATCTCTCAATTCTTCTAAATCTGAGATATAAACTCGGAATTGTGACTTGAGGAAAAGTCAGAATTGTGATATAAACTCGAAATGACGTATTTATTATTTTTTAAACCTTTTATTCCGTGGCTTCCATAGACTGCCACAGCAGAACTGTGAGTTTCTGCCACCAGTTAGGCTCCGTCCACAAAACACATCAACGCTGTTCGCAAAGACACAACTGGACTATTATTCAGTGGTCAAAAGAAACATCTTTCCGAAAAAAAGAAAACAAAATTCCATGGACAAGAATTCCATTAAACAGTTGAAAGTTTTGAGTTTTCGTTAAAACGGCATGTGATCTTGGAGCTTTACAGCGCATGCATTATAAAGATTTTATGTCTATCTCTCACAGTCTTGTTCTCATATGCATAAAATTAGATTTGGCATCTACCCTGGTCTATGACTTATAAACAAAATATAAATAAACTCGCAGGAGTGACTCGTGACTAGAGCTGTGTCTATCAAGTGACCAAACAGCGGAAAAGTTCGTTTGCAAGGAACCACGCCACGTGTGTCAACCACAAAGAAGATATGAGCAGTAGTGGGGGTTTTAATAGCTTTAAAAATATTAAAAACTATTTATACGCAAGCCATTGAAAGCTGTGATTACGAGCTGCTTGTCAAATCTTTATGAAACATAAAAGTAGCAGAACATTTGAGAAAAATAATGCAAGGCAGGAATTTTATATTCAGACGTGCCATCTGATCTGTGGTCAGATTAAGGATTATTTGTTGCAAGTTTCATGAAACTGGGCTAAGAAGATAGCCTGGATGCCAGCCCGAACCCCGCCCACAACATTTTTTGATCGGGAAGTTCGGTCTGGACTCGCACCATTGAGGAGTAATTATGATCGGTTCAGAAATCGTCGGGCCAATCAAATTGCCAGGGCGGGCTTTATACGATGATGGACAGATGATCTGCAGGGACGTAATCCTCACGTTATCAAAGAGCGCTTGGGTTGAACTGGTTTCCCTCAGAGATGACTGCCGCTGGAGAACTGAGATGTAGAGACTCCGCTATCGCTTCCGTTGTAAAAGAAATCGACAGCGCATTCATTTTAAAAGACGAACAGAGAACTGCAATCAAGGCATTTGTCGATCGGAAAGATGTGTTTGCCGTCCTTCCTACGGGATTCGGCAAAAGTGTAATTTATCAGCTGGCTCCGATGGTCACTAAGAAGATGGGACGCAATGAAAACCCTGTGGTCGTTGTGGTTTCTCCTTTGGTCGCACTCATAGAGGGCCAAGTAAAAGAAGCAACACTCGTTATTTTACTTCTTCCAGCGTGCGTGCATTTGAGTTCTGTAGTTGACAACTGTGCTATGCAAAGTAGTTGACTTACTGCGTTGCTCTCATTGGTTGTAGGTCTATCCAATTGAGTGCAGAGTTTTTTTTTTTCCTGGTTCGGTTAAGACACGCCTCATAATCAAAGCCCTATGAAGCAGTATCGGACTCACATTCTGACTAGAATATGAATATGACGAAATCAGGCTACTAAGAAGATGCTTCAGGCCCAAGAAACCCGTTATGCTACGTTCACACCGGACGCGAATAGCGCGTCAAATTCGTCCCGCATCGGAGTGAGGATCACCCTCGCCCTCATCCACCTAATCTGTCATTTATTTTTGTTTTGATGATAAATGGAGCCAGCCTCCAAAAGTGATTAATCTGTCCTGTGATTTTTTTTCTCTCGCACACACATCACTGTCCAGACACGAATGTTGGTTGTCTTTACATTATAATAATCTTTCATATAGGCCTAATCTAGATATGGAATAAATAGCATTCAATACAAAATGAATATGTCTCATAGGCCTATATTGAAATCAAGTTTTATGTGATAAAATATTTGCTTTGTTGTGCATTAGAACTACATTAGAACCACCGTCATATTACAAAATAATTTATTGAAGCATCCAGATACTTCACCACGTGACAGCAGCATGCAGCTAGGCTCCTGATTGGTTAACGCGGCGCGAATTGACGCAGAAGTTAAAATTTTTCAACTCGGGCGGCAGACGCGAATTCGCGTCAAACGCGTGAATGCACAAAATGCACCATTCGCGCGTAACGCGCCAGACGCTCAATTCGCGCCGTTCGCGCGAACTTGACGCGCGAATGAAGGCCAATTTATACTTCTGCGTCGGGTGCGCGCAGTAGGTACGGCGTAGCATACGCACAGACGCGTACCATACGCCGTAACCTGACGCGCACCTCCTCAAAAATGTAACTACACGTCGCGACGACGCGGACCGCAAGATCTGTGATTGGTCGGCTTGGCAGCATCGCGTTTCCTCCTATGTATTTCCGGCGTGTTCTTCTGCACCGCCCGCCATTTTTAAATTTTAAGTACAGCGAAACTGTTAAAAAAACAAAAAAATTACCTTTTCCACCTCGATGAGCTCCAAGTCCAACATGATCTGCTCTCTTTCAGTTGCCATTGCTTGTAGTAACCTAAACTCAAAACAGCCGCGAGGAATCTTCTTCTTCTTGCCGCGAGGAATCTAAACACAGTGGAACATTAAAACCCTCCGCCGCCAACTAGCGTTTCGGCGCTGTACTGCAGAGCAACGCAGACCTAAACGCAGAAGTATAAACGCTCATGACGGCGTCGCCTACGTGCGTAGCCTACGCCGTACACTACGGCGTACACTCGACGCAGAAGTATAAATTGGCCTTGAGGCGTATTCGCGTCTACCGTGCCGCGCTCTTCGCCTCATTCGCGCCGCAGGAATTTTTTACGCGCGTAAAGGCCAATTTATACTTCTGCGTCGGGTGCGCGCAGTAGGTACGGCGTAGCACACGCACAGACGCGTACCATACGCCGTACCCTTCGCCGTAACCTGACGCGCACCTCCTCAAAAATTTAACTACACGTCGCGACGACGCGGACCGCAAGATCTGTGATTGGTCGGCTTGGTAGCATCGCGTTTCCTCCTATGCATTTCCGGCGTGTTCTTCTGCACCGCCCGCCATTTTTAAATTCTAAGTACAGCGAAACTTTTAAAAAAACTAAAAATTTACCTTTTCCACCTCGATAAGCTCCAACTCCAACATGATCTGCTCTCTTTCAGTTGCCATTGCTTGTAGAAACCTAAACTCAAAACAGCCGCGAGGAATCTTCTTCTTCTTGCCGCGAGGAATCTAAACACAGTGGAACATTAAAACCCTCCGCCGCCAACTAGCGTTTCGGCGCTGTACTGTAGAGCAATGCAGACCTAAATGCAGAAGTATAAATGCTCATGACGGCGTCGCCTACGTGCGTAGCCTACGCCGTACACTACGGCGTACACTCGACGCAGAAGTATAAATTGGCCTTAACGCGTCTTTGCATTGACTTAACATTGAAATCACTCGCGCCTGACGCGCTATTCGCGTCCGTTGTGAACGTAGCATAAGACTGTGGTTTACATGCAACTTCCACTGCTAGTCTGAACAACTCAAAAGGAAGATCTCCATTCAAAACAGCAACATTTCATACCAGAGGAGAACAGTTTATTATCTACAACACTCAATGTACAGCATCGACCACACTGCATGTTTACACATTGTTGCAGATGAACCTCGTGGTTAAAACCACCAGTCGTGGAAACACCCGTTGGACTCAAAACGTTATAACTTACAGGTAGTCTTTGTGACAATTTCTTCTTTTGGAAAATAGCCCCAGTGTCCACTACTTTCAGCACTTTATGTTCAACCAATAAGCATTTTAATTCTACTTTTAATAACTTTAAACGTTGTGTGTCAAATAATCTCAGAACTGATTATTACTAACTGTCTGTGTTCATACAAGTATGAGTCCATGATCAGATTTGAAACAAAGTTGAACAAAATCTGTTGTCATGTTCATTACTCTGCATTTGATATGAATCAGAATACGCAACTAAAGGGTTTAAATCTATGAATTTCCACAAATAGAAGTACAGAAATGTTAAACTTTATATTTTTATATACAAATTATGAATATTATAAATCATTAAATATCATACATTATTACGTTTTGACTGGCTGTAGAAGAGAGTAGGTCTGATCCTGGCAAGGCCTGCTTCCACCGGGAGCCACGGATGATTCGACTTCAGCATACTGAAAGATTAAGATATTAGCAATGAATGTCCACACATGTAAGTATTAGTACAGCCAGGCCATCATTATCATAAAATAAATCCTGCAACATGAAGTAGTGTCTGAACGGGTTTACTTTGCAATAATCAATTAAATATATAAATGGACATGAAATATAGATCTGACAAATTAGAAGTGCAGTTATGTGAGACATGAAACTATAGTGCAATTAACAACAGTCAAATATGCATTTTAGTGTTCGTTATACTGTACTGTAGTTATTTAATATCACATATTCATTCAAATAATAGATCTACAACACTATTTGAAAATAGTATGCTAATTAAGCACAATTAAATTAAGCTATTATTCATTACACAATTATTCTCACCTGAGCTGCAGTGGTACTTGGGGGTTTCTCTGAACTATTTTTAGATGTTCTAGTTGCATGAAGGCAGTTCTTCACCACACCTGAATAAAACAACAGTGAATAAACATCTCCGTATCACTACACCTTTTGACAGATTAAACAAACAAAATAAAAACTAAATTAATACTGATATAAGATAGGATATTGTTGCATTTGTGTAGATCTTGATTTTGTCTACTGGTGAGTTCAATCACCTTCATTTACATAGCCTAGCACTTTTAATTTTTATAATACAGATTGTTTCAAAGCAGCTTTATGGTGATAATAGGAAATTAATCGAACAGAGATTCAATGAGACTTTTACTGTATAAAACAAGTACAAACTTATTAATGCAATGGTCAGAAGCACATTCAGCAGGACAGATATGAAGATGGTCATATTTCTCCATGGTATCTGGTGTTGTGGAGCGTCATCTGTCTGATTCCTGTGGACCGAGTCTGTAATATTCTTTTGGACAAAGTCTGTAAAAGGTTTGAAGTTCAATCTTTCAATTTCAGTCTTTAACAGAACAATGAAACTGCAAAAATATTAGTTCTTCATACAGTATATTCAATATGGACTCCATCATGTGGTTTATAAAGACATGAAATGATAAAATAACTCACCGCTGATGTAGATTTTGGTGCCGTTGTTGAATTTTAGTGGTTCACTAGTTTTCACACAATAATAAACTCCTAATTCATCAATGGTGATATTCTTGATGAACAGACGACTGTTAGTTTTCACTGAGTATTTGTGTTTAGAGATGCTGTTTTCATATTCACCTCCTTCAACTGTGCTATCATAAGTGCGTAACATCAACACTGGAGGATCCGGTAATTTCAGTTTGTACCAGTAAATCTCCTCTATATCAAGATCACAGGTTATATTCACATCAGATCCTAAAGTTACTGGTATGTGTGTTAGACTCTCTGTGGCTTGATACAACATGAACAGATCTATGACAGAAAGAAATAACACATTTATTAAGATATAAAATCAAAGGAAAACTGACACAAATAAATGTGAGATGAGAAACTCACAGATCTGCAGCTGTATGATCTTCATGATCTGATCCAGATGAATAATATCTGCTATAGTGATCATTCAAACATCTCGTACTGAGAGCGGAAACACAAACCTCGACCACACAGACGAGAGGGGAAGTCAGAGCTGGAATTATGATCGCACAGCACTTATTTATTTATTTATTTATTTATTTTTCCAATTAATTTCAACATCATATGAAGCAGGCTGGATTATATCAAAGTCCCCTTTGTACAAATATAAAACAGAAAAAAAAAATATATACATTTAAACTCCAAAACAATCAGCCACACAAAAAAGGCTAACAGGCTTTTTCTTTACGCATATTTATGATTTGCAAAACACCACTAACTGTTGGAATGGAAAGATGTTGGAGTGGTTTAAAATAATTTGCACTTAAGTTTATAATTTAGCCAACAATCACAATATCACTGACCAAAAATTCAACTCTGGGTTTGAAAACTCTGTGCATTTGCAGTTTGAGGATTCCACCAGCAGGTGCTATTGAAGTACTAAATGTCCTAAATGTGTAAATGCAATAGAGAATAAAATGATTTACAAATACAGTTACTAACTAGGATACAATAAGAGGCCCTTGCAATTTAACAGAACTGGAATGTTTTTGCTAAGAAGAGTGGGAAAATATTCCCAAAACAAGATGTGCCAAGCTGACAGACTCCTATCCAAACAGTCTTAAGTGCTGTAATAAAATCAAATGGTTCTTCAACTAAGTATTAGTTCAGTGTGCACACTTATGCAGTAAGTTGTAAAACATTTTCTTTGAATTGTGTCACTTTAGTTTTCAGTGGCATTGCATAGGTTTTCATTTTTACATTAAACATACAAAAGGTCTGATATTATTTATCTTTGTTTTACCGTACATATCACTTGTTATTTTAGATTGGTTTGTTGTACAAAAACAAAATAAGAACAAAGATGTAAACAATATGATAATTACAAAATAAGTATAAAACAATTAAAAACGTCTCTGGTTACTTACCAGTTCTATGTTCTCTGAATAGGGAACGAGACGCTGCGTAGCTTTAAGACGCAGTGGGAACGCCCTCTGGGTGTGCCGATTGTCTGAAGCCCTTATAGAATCATGCCAATTCATTGGCTGATGGTGCAGGCGCCGCCCCGACGCTCTTACGTCGTAACATTATATATGCGCGCGCGCCATCTGCTCCTCAGATTTCTCTGCCGAAAAAGAAAACTTGTTGGCAGCGCAAGGAGCTTGGCAGCGAACGCAGCGTCTCGTTCCCTATTCAGAGAACATAGGTTACGTAAGTAACCAGAGACGTTCTCTTTCATAGGTTAATCCAAAGCTGCGTAGTTTTAAGACGCAGTGGGAACGAAATACCAAACTCGCCATGTTAAAGCGCTGCCATAGCTAGTACACGACCGGTTCAAGAAGATAAAACTTGGGAACCTGGAGTCATGTCAAGATCCAAACTATAGAATCTGACAAAAGTGTTTGGAGAGGACCAGCCTGCCGCCACACAAATATCTTCCAAGAGGGCCCCTCTAAAAAGAGCTTGAGAGGAAGCCACACTTCTAGTGGAATGTGCTCTGTTGCCAAGAGGTGAAGGCAGGCCACGCACCTCATAAGCCAGTGAAATAGCTTCCGTAACCCAGTGGGAAATCCTCTGCTTTGATGCGGCAAGCCCGCGGCGGCCAGCACCAAAACATACCAAGAGCTGGTTCGATTTCCTCCAACCACCCGAGCGGTCCACATAGAACTTCAAAGCTCGAACCGAGCAGAGCAAGTTAAGTTTCCTATCCTCCTCAGAGGCAAAAGGAGGAGGATGGAAAGCGTAAAGGTTAATAACATGAGAGCGGAACGTTGTGGACAGAACCTTGGGTACATACCCGGGTCTCTGCCTTAAAGGGATAGTTCACCCAAATATGAAAATTCTGTCAGTATTTACTCACCCTCATGTTGTTCCAACCACGTAAGACCTTCGTTCATCTTCGGAACACGAATTAAGATATTTTTGATGAAATCTGAGAGCTGGATCACACACTTAAGATTGAGCCACTGTAGTCACTTGGACTATTTTAACGATGTCTTTAATAACTTTTCGAGGCCGACAAGTTCAATCCCTGAAGAAGCCTATGGACTAGTATGGAGGAGTGATCCAGCTCTCAGATTTCATCAAAAATATCTTAATTCGTGTTCCGAAGATGAACGAAGGTCTTACGGGGTTGGAACAACATGAGGGTGAGTAAATACTGACAGAATTTTCATTTTTGGGTGAACTAACCCTTTAAGGTAACCTTGACCAGACCAGGAGCGAAGTCCAAGCATGACTCGGTCATAGAGAGAGCCTGTAAGTCTCCTATCCGCTTCAACGAAGTTAAAGCTAACAAAAGAGCAACCTTAAGAGTCAGAATCCGCTCAGGGGCTGACTCCAAGGGCTCGAAGGGAGCCTCTGTCAAGCCCTCCAAGACGACTGACAGGTCCCACGAGGGAACTCCAGGGGAGTGTGCTGGTTTTAGGCACCTCACCCCACGCATAAAGGCTGAAACTAGCCTAAGTTTACCATGGGGAATCTCGTCCGACTCTCTATGAGCGGAAATAGCCGCGACGTATACTCAGAGTGGTAGCGGCCACTCCAGAAGCAAACTTCTCTTGCAGGAATTCCAGCACTGAGCCAACTGGGCAGCTAACTGGGTTCTTAGCATGTGCTGAGCACCATGACTCAAACACCCTCCACTTGGAGGAATACAGCCTCCTCGTAGAAGGGGCTCTCGCACTTGTGATGGTTTCCTGAACATCAGCTGGGAGACCAAAGCTTAAAGCTAGCGGCCTCTGATGGGCCAAACGTACAACTTCCAAATGTCGGGGCGAGGATGCCATATCCTGCCCTGAAGTTGGGAAAGTAGATCCTCCCTGACCGGAATCTCCCAGGGGGAGGATTCCAGCAGAGCAATGAGCTCCGAAAACCAAGGCTGGGATGGCCAGAATGGGGCTATAAGAAGGAGGCGGACTCCACTCTACCTCACTCTGGACAGAACCGCCTGGATCAACTTGATGGGCGGGAAGGCATAGAGTTTCCGGATCGGCCACGGGTGGGCGAAAGCATCTATCCCCAACGGAGCTGGTGGACTCAGGGAGAACCAGAGCGGGCATTGGGATGACTCCTGAGAAGAGGTCCACTTCCACTTCCGCTTCCCCGAACACCTCCCAGATCAGGGCCACCGTCTGGTGGTTCAACATCCATTCCCCTGACCTGAGCTTCTGCCTCGACAGGAAATCTGCTGCGAGGTTCAGAATCCCCGGAACATGAACTGCCCTCAGAGAGAGGAACTTGTTCTGGGACCACAGGAAGAGGTGACGCACTGGGTGGCGAAGGTGACAGGGTAGGAAAAGGAGAGCGGTATAGAGGTGGGCAGAAACGCTTGCGCAGTCTTGTCCCAACCTCTTAGATGGAGTGGAGCTCTCCTTTTTCTGACCAGAGGGTCCAGGAACGTCTCGAGGAAGCTGGAGCAGCCGGTTTGTTGGACCGCTTCAACTGAAGACGCCTGTGAGGTCGCTGGCGGGGAAATGGGCGGCCACGGGCTCCCTAAACCGTGGTTGGTGGGGGATAAGCCGGGTCACTCCTCCTAGTAGGGAACTCCGCTCTATGAGAGGGGGGTTCTCTGGGTTGAGAAGGGGAGGGGTTGGAAGATTCCCTAACCCTCCTAGGCATAAACTGCTTAAACGCAGCCGACTGAGACTTAGCAGCTCGGAATTTCTCAACAACCGTGTTGACCGCCTCCCTAAACAGACCAGACTGTGAAATAGGGGCGTCTAGAAGAAAAAGTTTCTCCTTGTCGCGGATCTCCGTGAGATTGAGCCATAAATGGCGCTCCGCTTCCGCACCCGCCATAGAACGGCCTACAGCGCGTGCGGTATGCTTGGTGGCTCTTAGGGCCAGATCGGTGGCTTTACGAAGCCCTTTGACAGCTTCAGGAGTCACTCCATTTCCCTCGTCCATTTCCTTCAGGACGTTCGCCTGGTAGGCCTGAAGAATGGCCATAGTGTGTGGCCAAATCTCGTGATGCAGATCACTGAAAAAGGGCAGCTTTCTTCACTCTGGCCTAGAATTAGGGCCACTATAAAAATCTATCGTCGAGTTTAGACGACTGTGACTCGCGGGGCTCGTAAGGCCAGTCAATAGCGAGCTTTTCCGTAGCGCGCGAAAGCACGTCTATAAGTTCCGTGTAAGCCGCAGTAGGCCGCGTTTCCTGGCCGCTAGGCGGGATAACGTCGTCGGTTAAAGCAGGCCCGAAATCCTCAGAGTCGGAAGCTGCAGTATAAATTACGTCTTCCAGCCCGAAAGAAACCGTCTCGCGTGCTCCCGGGCTGGGGCATAAATAATCATGCGCGAACTTGACTGGCATGCCACGTTCGCGCTCGGGAGAGGGAGGGAGCGAAAGGGCGAGGCCCGTCTGCTCATACTCCAAATCCTCGAGCTCTACATCCAAACCCCAGGTCGCGGATCCTCGAGAGGCTTCGGCGGTCTCGGGAGCGCGACGGTGGGGAACGAATGAATGCCTTCTCAAAAAACGCGAGCCTAGAGCAGAGGGTTTTGAGAAGCAGATTGTCACAGAATTTACATTTAGACGATCCTAAAACAGCCTCACGCGCATGTGAAAAACCCGAACACTTAACGCACTTACTGTGAGGGTCGTCGCTCACAATGAAGCGAGCGCATGGCGGAGAGTAACGACAATATTCTATTGCACTTCACTGTAAGGAGAACAGAGTTCCACTTATTCCAGTCGCTGAAGTGCAGAAGACGACGAAGCAGTTGTAATCCGAATTTTTCAGACTCAGAAAAACCGAAAGCGAAGGGCATGAAATGACCGCTTTGTGAAGGCAGAGAAATCTGAGGAGCAGATGGCGCGCGCGCGTATATAATGTTACGACGTAAGAGCGTCGGGGCGGCGCCCGTGCCATCAGCCAATGGATTGGCGTGATTCTATAAGGGCTTCAGACAATCGGCACACCCAGAGGGCGTTCCCACTGCGTCTTAAAGCTACGCAGCGTTTAAGTTTAGCATTTAAGTTTTAAGTTTAGTATTTAACAATAACAATAGCATTCAGAGAGTCAGAGAGGACGAGAACAGCAAGAGTTAAGAGGCTAAGCAGACTAACAGCAAAAAAAAAAAAAGATAATTGATAACGTGAACAAGTTGATAAGACACTCTTGTGGTGGGGATTTGACGTTTCATGTCAATGTGACAAGTCAAGTTTGGTGAAAATATCTCATGTTGTTCACAGAGTTATAGCCATTCATATTAATGTGCACAAACTTGGGAGCATTTTTTCAGCACATATAATACAAATGTTGATGTTTCATATGTCAAAAGAGTCCAGAGTGTCTGCATTGTGATCCACTGGTCCAAACATGAGTATGAAAAATATAATGACCAAACAAGCAATTACTTCTGCAGTGTTAAAGGGATACTCCACTTTTTTTGGAAATAGGCTCATTTTACAACTCCCCAAGAGTTTAACTGTTTACCGTTTTTGAATCCATTCAGCCGATCTCCGGTTCTGACGGTACCACTTTTAGCATAGCTTAGCATACATCATTGAAGTGGACAAGACCATTAGCATTTCTCAAACAAAAATCAC